CACACACACACACTCACAAACACACATAAACGTACATACTATACACTTGCTTTAGAAGTCTGAGAGGTCATGTATAATTACAGCTTCGTTTTCCAAAAAAACCCCAACCTAACAGAACAAGAAAAGAAAAAAATAATGAAAATTAGAAGAAAAAAAATAATTTCAGTTGCTGATCTCTGATCCGTGCATTTCACAATCTAGAAAGTAGCATCTTCTGAAAAATAGAAAGCTCAAAATTTGTCTCAAAGCTTTTCCGTTAACATTTTCCAACCTTGTGGCACACTGCAAAGTATTACAAGAAATCATAATTGGAGCAGGGTGTTTATAGTAGATGTGTCAAAACCTGAATAAAGCTTAGTTCCTGCAGTGTCCTCTCAAGTTTATTGCGTGTCTTAATTATAGTGTTTTGAAAATTGAACTGTCAAAAGTGCGCCTGTTATTCTTATCTGAACTTCCAATTAGTCTGCACCTCCATATATTCCGTTGAGGGCTGTTTCTTCTAGAACATGACGAGGATATACGTCTTTGTTTTATTATGTGATCCATTTGAGAGGGCAATGTTTCAAGTGTCGATCACATTAGGCCTATTGTTATTGGTATCTACTAAAAATTAATTAAATCTACCACAATTTGTGTATATAGAAATCAGAACATTTGAGAAAAAGTTTTCTGACTTTCAAATTAGACACTCGTTGGAGTCTCTGGGTTGAAGCGAACTGTGAAAAAAAAAAATCAATATCAACAAAGGTCAAGAACGTATAAATCAAGATATTTTATCATAAAGTAATTATGGAAAAAATCGAATGAACTATCAAACGTACATTTTAAATATCTACTGTTACTGCTACAATTACGTTCCGGAAGTTGGCAACAATTTGATTTCCTCCGCTCGCGGGAGCCAGCCGAGTCAGCAGCGAGAATAGCGAAGCCAAAGCTAGAAAAGTTGAGACAAACTCCAGAGAAACTGTTTCACTGGCCTTTAGTTTTGTGTCAAGACGAAGTTTCTATTTAGAGGAGTTCCCAAACTGCTTGGGTTGGCAAATAAGGACGGTGAGTGTAAAAAATGCAAAGTCGCCTTTGCAGGGCTCTTTGGAAATTGCCTTCCCGTTTGTTTACATGACATAGAATCTAGATCTAGAATCGAGATCTAATTTATGAGAAAGAAACAGTAGAAGTGATTGCTAAGGACCAAGGACAAAAATGGCCATGTAGACTAAGTGAACTCTACCACATTACAGTAATATTTTTCTGCCTTTTTTGTATTAACAATTTATTTTTATGCAGATTGAATTTTGATGGACCCAATGTTTACTAATGTGCTCTAGCCATCATAGCAGTTGGGGAGGTTTCGGGGGGGGCTTGCCCCCCGCCCTTTCCTTTGGGGGGTATGAGGATAGTATGGAGGGGGGTTTCTTTGGCCTCCTGGCAAAAATAATTTTTTTTTTAAAAGCACATAATCTTCTCGTTTACTTGGCAAATTATCAGTGAAAGTATTTATTTACTCTAATTATTTGAGACGAAACCAGGTGCCTTACTATTTTAAACCTGAATAATTACTAGATTCTAGATCTAGATCTAATGATACCTGTGTACTCAACAGGTTTCTTATAGGGCCTAAACTAAGTGCGGCTAGACTGTCAGG